CAAAATTTCATCTAGCTGACAGGTCATTTTCATGAGTTGTTTTGCATGTTTTTCAAATATCATTAGTTTTAAAAGAATTTCGTCTTATGCATTATCGAAGAAAAAGACGTGCCCGCTCCTCCTCTTTCGATTGGTGAATACCGCAGGTAGCTAGGTATTGCGGTTGTCGAGTTATTGAGCTTACACTCACCCCTCTTTTATTCTGGCGCGGACATTAGTTAGATAAAGAAAAGTTTTATTTTTTTTTGTTATCAACTTAGAGAAATTTCTTTGAAGTGCTTCGTATTATGTTTATCTCCACTCACTCTTAGATAGAGATACCTCATCAAGTATTAAATCACTTTTAATATGAGTTTTATCTAATTAGATACATTCTATTGAGACTAAATTATTGTGTTCCATTTAGGTCAACTTCAAAATCAATTTTTGAGTTCAAATTTTGCATAACTATTATAAAATTATCCGATTTTCTACCATTTACTATTTTCAGATACTAATATGGAAATTTCTGATGTACGAAAACAGCAAACTTTGTTCTTCAATTTATATCTTAGTATAGAAAATATTAGTAAATATAACACTTCCATTATAAACTAGTCTCAATGAGAACTTGCTTTGTACAAAGTTTGAACTCAGAAGTTATTTTTTGAAGTCTAGGCTTTACTTAAGTAGTATCACTAGAGTTTACTTAATGAGGTAAGACTGAATAAATTTGTTAAAATCATTAGACTAAGTCAAACAATATGAAATTTGCACAAAGACATCTGAAGAATCAAGAATTAATTCTATCATTCTAAATGATCAATCTGTTCTCTTTGAATTATCAGAATCAAAGTTTTTTTTTTACAAAAAATGACTTTTGTGGAGCACGATCTAAAAATATGCAATTAAAAATTTGAGTTCATGCCTCCACTTCTTCTTTACAGACTGTAACAGACATTAGTCAAAAATCATCGGAGGCCTTGAATGACGCCTTATCAACGTCTCCTCTCTCTCTGTCACGGACACTGTTGATATGCAATTAAAGAGCGTATATCAATAACGTCTCTTTATAAATATATGAACTTCTTCCTTATTACATCTCAAGACGATTAAGTTAATGAATAATGTAGAAATGTATTTCAAAATAGATAAAGCAATCTCCTGTGATTAACAACAGTAACTACATCGTGTTTCACATTTTAAATCCGCAGAGATTATGCTAACAACTTTTTCTCAATAAAAGATGCTTTTTTTTTTTTTTTGGTATTACTTGTTTTTACAGTAAAAAACTTAATTCCTTTTTTTTTCTTGTAAATATAATATACACATACATGAATTCCAATAACGTTTTCAAATCTTGGTTTAACAAAAAACCAAGCAGCTTGATTTCGATGTTCTTCTTGACACCAGATAAATTCTTTAGCATTTTTATACTTTTTAATTTCTTGTCGAAGTTCATCAACTGGAAATGGACATAATTCTTCTAAACGAATTATAGCAATATCATCTCGTTTTCGTTTATCACGTTCTTCATTTAATGTATAATAATGTTTTCCACTTGTAAATAAAAGACGTTTAACTTTTTCAGGATTTAATTTTGTCTAGAAATTGAAAAATAATTTTGTTATTTTTTATAAATAAAAATAATATTAAATATACATTAGAAATATTATCACTTAATACAGGTAAGAAATGAGTACCATCAACCATATCTGTTAATGAAGAAACACATTCCGGATGACGAAGTAAAATTTTTGGTCCAGCAACAATCAATGGTTTACGAAAATTTCGTATCATCTATGAAAAAAAAACAAAAAGAAAAGATTTTCTTTTTCTTATTGAGCAATATTAATTTTTTTTTTTAAAGCATCATTCAAAATATAGTACTTATTTTATTTGTCGTAATTTCCGCAGTCGAGAATATGAAGTTTCTTTTTTGGGAAAATGTTAATTATTATAATATTATTTTTTTGTTTTTGTTTTTGAAAATATTCTTTTTAAAAGTCTTACTTGACGTCGTAAAACATGAAAATATTGAGCAGGTGTTGTTGGATTAACAATTTGCATATTTATATCATCACCATCAATACCATCTTCTTTACTATCAGTCATCTAAATTATATTGAAATTTATTTTTAAATATAACAAAAAAAATTAAGAAAACTATAAACCTGTAAGAATCTTTCTATATGACAACTACTATGTTCTGGTCCGGCACCATCCATTCCATGAGGAAGTAGCATAACAATACCAGATTGTGTAAGAAATTTCACTTAGAAAACAAAAAATTCTTCGTCTTTTTCTTTTGTTCTAATAAAAAGAAAAATACTTACATTCACCACCACTAATATAAGTATCGATAATAATTTGTGCACCATTAAAAAAATCACCAAATTGTGCTTCCCAAATAACAAGATTTTTCGGATCATGAATACTAAAACCATAATCAAAACCAAGTACGGCTTCTTCTGATAAAATACTGTTACATATCTTTAAAGAAATATTTAATTTATTCGTTATTGTTTTCTTTTTTTGATAAATAATGACTAGACATACTTCAATAAAACCTTGTTTAGAATCTAAGGCATTAAGTGGAATATAAACATCATCATCTTTTTGATTAACAAGCATGCCATGTCGTTGACTAAATGTACCACGACCAACATCTTGACCACTAATACGAACATTAAAGCCTAAAGAAGCAAAAAGAAGTGATATTTGATTTTTATTTATGTGATAAAAATGTATGTTGAATAACAAACCTTGAAGAAGTAATGAACCAAATGCCAATGCTTCAGCTGTTGACCAATCAAGACCAGTACCTGCTTCAATACGTTGTTGACGTTTTTGCACATGTGATCGTGCAATAGTTGTATGAACTTGCTATTAAATAAGAAATAATTCATTTAAATGAAAATAATTTAAAAAAAAAAAAAAGTTACTAACAAATTGTTCTGGTACATCAACAGATTTGGCACCAACATATTTAAGTATATTTTCATTAAGACCTGTATTCCATTGAGTACGAATTGATTTAGCTTTTGCCATGTCTGACCATTGTCGTTCAAGATGAGGAGCCTAAATTAAATTCATTTAGAATTTTATTTTTTAATTCAATTATAATTCTTGTTACTTTTGGTTGATATTTATCAGCAATAGAAAATTGTTCTTCTAATATATTTCGAAAATTTTGAATTTTTTTATTTAATTCTTCATCAATTTGTTGTTCTTGTTTATAATATTCTTGTACTTTTTTATACATTGATGGTTGTGTAAATGTTGGATCATCAAGTTCATTATGTCCATGTTTACGAAAACAAACAAGATCAACAACAATATCTTTACGAAATAAATCACGATATTCACATGCTAATTGAGTAGCTTGTGCTATTTCCTAATTTTAATATGATTCGAAAAAAAAAAAACATAAATAAATTTGAGGGATAAGGAAAAAAAACCGAAATCACAATTACCGTTGGACATAGACCATTGACATGAATAATTGGACAATTAACAACTTTAGCGAAATCAGTACAATAACGTGAAGAACTTTATAAGAAGAAAAGAAAAAAAAAGATATGGAATTTTATTATTTCGAATTTCAATTTCTATTTACCGTCCTAAATGTTGAGGTGTTGTATAACCAATTTGATTATTTGTAACAAGATGAATACTTCCGCCAATTGAATAATTTGGTAAATGACTCAATTGAAATGTTTCAGGTATGATACCCTAAATAAACATTATTTATTATAACTATTTATAAATAGAAAATGCCAACAAAAATTTTTAGAAACGCAGTATTTTTTATTTTTCAGTAATAGCTAGAACAAATAAAAGAATCTCTTAGAAAAAAAAACCACGACTTCCAATATCAGTTTTCTTCATATTCTATCAAAAGTATTTTGCAAACAATCTACAAAAATTTCCAAAGTGTAAAACCTCTACTAGTGAACACCTCCTAATTATGAGCGGACTCAGGTCTAACGAAACAATTTGTGCTGTAAATGCCTCTATCTAATGTGAAAATGTTTTTTTGACCTCTTTTTCTTTTCTGTCACCTGTTTAGTATGCATTTTATGTATGATTCGATCTGCTCTATTTGTAAAGTAAAGAATGAGATCACAACATGAGATTATTTTGCAAAAGAAAATTATTAATAATTTATGATAATGATTTATTGCAACATAAATTCAATGAAAAATATAATGTCTCACTCAAATCTGTATGAAATATTTTAAAACATAAAACAGAATATTTAAATGATGATGAAATAAATCAGTATCAAAGTGTTAGACGAAAATAGAATAGTGTCAATGCACAAATATTAGACGATCAAGTGTACGAATGGTTTGTAGAGCAAGCTACAAAAAAAAAGAATTTGTTCAAAGACAAAAAAGACAAGTAACATTAGAAAATTCTTTTTAAAAGCAATTAAATTTTGTCTTATATTTGAAAATAGATAAACACGAGAATATAAAGTCACGTCTTTATCTACGGCGAATATAGTGTTTATTTCATAGCAAATCATGCATGCTTCAACCTTCGAAAGTGACCACTTTTGAATGGTCCCGATAGTATTCACAATAGAGAGATTATACTCTGAATAAAAACACAAGAAAACAGCCTGCTAGGCCTATGACATAGTGATTACCGTTGACTGCAAACAAGTCGTTAGAATTTGATGACTTGAAAAATTATCCAGAATCGGAAACATGGTTCCGGCTCCGGTTCCGATTACTAAAAATAAGAAGAAACTAGTTCCGATTCGGTTTCCAAAATATCATGTGAAAACGAAATCGTTAGATCATCAATTAGATACATAAGTTTTAAATATATTTTGAGAAATTTTCACTCTTGGATTATTGAGATAGCTCGAGAACATCAAAGTGTTTTCTCAGTCAGATGAATTCGTTTAAAAAAAAAAAATGGTTTTAAATAAAAATTTTTCTTGAATTTGTTCTAGTTGTTATTGTTAAGGAAAAATATTAAAAAGAGTTTGTTTCTAAATTTTTTCGCCTCCATCTTATGTATAATCTTATACCTGTCCAGCAAATGAAGCATCACCATGTACTTGAATACAAAGTGCTTTATCACCATGTCGATTAACATTTTCTGTATCAGCATAATGACCATCTTTTACAGATAATTGATAAGCACGAGTTTTACCAACTGCAACAGGATTATTAGCCTATTGGTTAATTAAAAAAACAATGAAAATAATATAAATAGATGAAAAATTAAATTTACTTCTAAATGAGATGGATTAGGAATAAGTGAAACATGAATTTTTTTCTCATCATAAATTAAATCAGTAGAAGTATCTAAATATGATATAAATGAATTTATTTTATTTCGTAAAACTAAATAAATAACTTACATAAATGAGAAAGAACATCACCAGTTGATTTTAAATCTTTTGGAAATTCATGTTTGCCTTTTATTTTTCTAAACATTGTTGCAGCTGGATAATTAAGTAAACAAACAAGTAAATTATTTCGACCTCGATGTGGCATACAAACAATGACATTTTCAATGTTTACTATTATATAGATTTTTTATTGTTAGAAAAATTGAAGAAAAAAGAATTATTTATTATGAAAACATACATTGAGCAGATTGTTTAAAAACTAAATCAAAAAATGCCATCATGCCTTCTGCTCCTTCACCACTATAACGTTTCAATGTTGGAAATTTAGCTTGAAGAAATTGATCAAATGTCTATGAAAGTATTTGAAAACAAAAAAAAATGATCGATTATAAAATTAACAAGATGACTATTCATTTTATCTTTTTATGTCAATCAAATGATCTTTTTCTCATGGGAAATCATTACGATAATCAGATATAGCAAAAAGATATGAACGTCTTGTTAGACAGAATCATATAAAATGAATAATCACTTATTATTATCAATAGAATTCAAGCAAAACTTCAAAAGAAAACAGATGTTATTCATATATATGTCATTGTACCTCACATTTACGCATCTGTTCAGCAATTCTTTGTTGAATATCAGATGAAATAGTTGGTGATGTACGTAATTGTTCAAATCGACGAGCAATCCAAAGACGTTCAATATCACTCTAGATATTCATATATAGATATAATCATATTCTCTTTATTGAACTTACTTCAATATGTTCACATTCTAAACTTATTGATTGACAATAGGTTTCATTGAGTTGTCTTATCCAATCATCTTTTGTTTTTGGTATTGATTGTTCTGTTGATAAACCAAATAATGAACGAGCATCATGTTCATTTTCAATATGAAAATCAACTGAAAATACATTTTGATCTAATTCAGGAATTGATCTGAATAATTTTAATTCATTATAGTTTTTTTTTTTTTGATTAATAAATAAATATATTATTTTTCTCACGTGTTTACAATGATTCCCAATGGATCGATCTTAGCTAGACGATGGCCGTGCTTACGATAAGCATCAATGAGTAATGCCGCATGAGGATTAGTTTGACGAGCTTGATTGTAATCACCTACATATTGATAAAGAAATAAAATTTCATAATCAATGTGACATATGTGTAAATTTATATTCACGAAGAAGTTTCTCTATTTCTTCCGTATTTCCAACAGTTTTTAATTGTGTATTAAATCCAAATATTTTTGATTGATATTTATATGTTCTTATAAGATTATTTTGAATAGATGCTAATCGCCGTTGAACAATACGCAGATGCATCTGAAAACATAGTGACAGATGTCAATAGAGGGACAGCTTTTCTTTTTCTTTCTTTAGATATAACCATCTGCCATGATATTTTTCAAAGACAGAACGTCTTCATCATGGGTGGTGATTGTTCAAGAAAGCAGAGGAAACAAAAAAAAATCAATTAAAATATGTTAAACTCATCGAATCAATCCGGACATGAACTCTCTTTTTTTTTCCTTCTTTTTCTCAGCATGATCAAAGACAATAACAAGTAATATTCTTTTTTTTTTTAAATTTTTCCTGCGAAAGTAATTCTGCATGCATTCACCCGGCTGTGATATATATGAGACAAAAAAAAAAAAAAATTGACAATCCAATTCACTTCCGTTGGCATATGGTTAGATGATTGTCTTGACCAAAAACAGAAGAAAAAAGAATGAAAGTTATGTTAATGAGAGAGAACGAGCAACTGGTACAAAATAAAAAAAAAACAGTCAAGTAAAATTAGACGTATACAAACACAAGACAACAATGAAAAAAAAAAAACAAAAAAAAAAAAGAAGTGGAGTGTGCTATTTGTTTTATCCTGTACTATGGACACTGTTCACGACGATATATGTCCAATATAATATTTTGCATCGTACCTGAGAATAATTGAGTCATGAGAAGAAAGAAAAAAAAAACAGAATCTTAGTAAAAAAATACGATAGACTAGAGAAGTAAACGAGTTTTTTAACGTTGATTAATATATAAGATTAATAAAAATGATAATAACATAGACGAAAATGAAATTATCGTTGAATTATTTGATGAAAGTGATCTTATTTGATTAGCATCACGTACAATATGAATAACTCGTTTATCTTTATCATTTCCATTAACATTCAATTGTGCAATAAAACCATCAGTAAGTAATTGTTGATAATAATTTTCTTCAGTTTTATTTTGTTGTCCATTTATTTTCATTGTTATTGGTATAGACATTAATTTATTTCTATCAAGTGTAATAATACTTTTATATTTTCCATAAGATTCATTTTTTATTTCAATTGTTATACCATTATCGGATAAAAATGGTTTTTTATCGATTGAACGAAGCCATATTAATGCTGGTTGAGGATTTCCACTAAATGAACATTCAATAGTTGAATGATTTTTTTTTGAATCAACATATTGACTTTCATCACATTTAAGAAAACGTGGAGCAAATAAAACTTCTAAAACTTTACTTGATTGTTGTTCAGAACTACCTATTAGAAATAAAATAATTTACTTTTTTTTTTTTTTTTTAAAAAAAAACAATAAATTTCAAATTATTGAATTCAAATGCAAACCTTCCATAACATTACAATATATTGTTGAATTATGCCAATCAGCTGAAGGTGTTATAGTTGCTTCCCAAACAAATTTTTGTGGATATGCATTATTATTTGATAATGAACTTCTTCCTTCTTTTGTTATTTCTTGATGATTACGAAGAATTTTATGTTGAACATATGGATAAAAATTCTCAACTTGACATCTTATTATAGTTTTTGTATTTTCATGTAATGGCCAACCTGGTTCAATAATCCATGTTGGAGCAGATAATTTCATAACATCTAAATTTCGACTTTGACTTTCTAATTGTTCTTCACAATCAGGACAATTACATTCATATTTAGCTGAATCTTCAGGTTGTAAACTTCGTATACGTAGATGATGTTTACCTGCCCATAGATAACGTTGATTTTTATTATTTTTAAAAACAGCTGGTGAATCATCAGGTGGTGTTGATAATAATGAACGTGATATTACTGTATGTTTACCAGTTGTTAAATCAACATACCATAATTGAGGAGCATCCGTATGATCATTTGGATTAAGTACTTCACATTTTATTTCAACTTGTTGATGAAGTGGCATATATTTTTCATCAGGAATAAATGTTAATTTTAATGTTGGTCGAACTAATTGTACACTTGGAATAAGAATAGTTATTATTATGATTGTAATCATATACATTCTTCGAATATTGGATCTAAATAGAAGTAAATGGAATATTCTCAAGGTCTTTTTTAAAGGGTTTCTTTTTTATTTCTCTCAATCAATCAAGTAAAACAAATGCATTGTGCGAGAAATACATATTTACATAAGTCTTTTTCTTTCTTTCTTACATTAGGAATTTTTTCTATGGAAAACTTCATTAACTATTTTAGCCTATAGGTTTAACTGAAAGTCATGTAATACTTTTCTATTAGTTTTTTGTATATATCTAAATTAAGAAATCGTTCTATAATAGAATATGACAAAACATACCAATTTTTTTTTACTATGTTTGTTGTGATTGATTTATATCTACTGTCTGTCGACTGCTATTTTTTTTTAAAAACTTCTACAGATCTACATAAAAATTTTAGCATATTGTATTTGCTATTGTTGTTATGGATAACAATAACTTCGAATCACACTAAGCTTTTACCCTGTCGCGCTTTTGTTCTTCTTCCGACTTCCGCGTAAGTAGTTGAACGGCCAAATGATGGTGACGACGATAGAGAGAAAGAGCGACTATATTCGTATCTTATTCTCTCTGTCTCTCTCTCGCTCTCCTTTTCTTGCTCTCATTTTTTTTCGTCTTTTTCTCTCGTTTTTTTTTATGCAATGTACGAGTGAGAGTGTGTGTGCATGTCCTCGGTCAAGTACTTGTAGAAAAGAATACTATCCCAACTAAAAGAGAGAGAGAGAGAGAAAAAAAAAAAAGAGAATATTTCACCAGTCAATCCACTGGAAGCAAGCAAAAAATGGACACCTGCTTACATTTATGAAATTAAATTGAATTACTATGCAAAAACGGATATTTTTTTCCTCTCTGTTCTATGTATGATGTCATTCCAGTTCAATAGTTCTGGAAAATCTCTTTCTTACTTGATATGTACACGAGCAAAAGAAAAAGAAAAAATTCAAGGCTAAAAGCAGATAGTTCAACGGACGAAAAAGGAAGGCATGAAGAGAGAATGAATGAATGAATGAGTGAGTGAGAAAGAAAAAAAACATTAGCACAACATCGGACATCTCGCCTTTTTTTTTTCTTCTAATTTCCTCGTTTTGTTCTTCTCAGCATAGAAAAAACTCGTGCATGTGTCTATCTATTTTATTTGCTATTCTAACAAAGAAGATCCCATAGAGAGATCGCCTCATGAATGTTCAATATATAGGCATTGATATATATAGAAAAAAAAAAAAAAAGGAAAAAGAAAAGAAAGGAATACAAATGAATGGTCGAATGAATGACATGCATATGTGTCTATGTATATAAGCAAGACAGATGGCTTTGAAAATTAGTGAATTGCAAATCCCTTTGGTCATCATTAGAATAATTCTTATGGCAGTATTAAATGGAAAAAGCAGGACACCTGCTTATAAATATATGTCATTTAGGTTTTTTTTTTTCTCACTGTATGTATATTTATTAATAATCAGATCTTATTACTATTTCGTAACTTCCTTCATCAACTATTGATAGTTATTATTTCATTTGATCAAATATATATAAATACATATATATTAAGTGATGATTGTTGGCACCGGATGTGGGGAACCAGATTGGTATCCATAATGCGCTAAATCGTAACAAAACATTAATAACCAAAATGAGGATAACCCTGAACACAACTCATAATTATTTTCTATGCTACTCATGGCCATTTACATGCCAAAGAAGCATAGCAAGTAGAAGAAAAACGATTAATCGAAGATACACATACATCTATATGTATGCATATATATACAACAGGCGCAAGATAACAATTTGTCAGACCTTTAAGGCATAGTATTCCGTTAATCATCATATGTTGTCATTGACTGTTCAATATTTTGATGGGAGTTACTGTTTTTTCTTTCTTGTATATACATTCTTTTGTGTCTACAAATCTCCTCCCCTTTTCTTTTTCTTGGTTTCTTTTCTCTTTTTTGATTATTACATGATACAAATGATAATAGATGGCGAATGCAATGTGTCTAACATTTGAGGGAGGAGTATCAGACAAAATACGATTGAATTTCTTTTTTTCTTTTTCTCTAGTTATTTCAGACAGTAAGTATTAATTCTCATGTATTGATGTAATGTATGATGCAACAATAGTTGAATTCATTTATGTAGAAGAAATAACGGTGAAAGCAAAAATCCTTTTCTTATTCTTTTTTTTTTTCTAATGAATAATTTAATCCAGCGATGCGCAAACGTGCTGTCTTCTCTATGGTCTACATTTACTATGTAAATAATGAAAACAAAGAAGCGAGATACTTATAATGGAACAATGATCAAATCTTTTTTTTTTTTGTAGGTTTAAAGAATATGATAATCATGAAACTTGATGCTTTAGTATTGTAATGATTTTTTAAACAAAAAAAATCAATCACTATTATTCATTCACATGAAATGTTTGCAAATATTTCGTTAACAATAAATCACAACTATATGCGTATATAAATGATAGATGATGTTCTTAAATAAATAGAATAGAAAATTAATTCTCAAGTCAAAAGTAAATTTCAATAGTCTTTTCTAATGAAAAGGTCATACGGATGTTTCATTCAAAATGACTGCTTGTCACAAATCATTATGAATAGTGATTACATAATAAAAGGAAAATGAAGAATGTGCTTTCTTACTGTCTAATAAAAATCTTCATTCGGTTTTTTTTTTTTTGCTACATTTTCTTTCTTGCAGAATGTCTCATCCCTGAGCGGCAATGATGCTGATGATGATTATTCATTTTTCTTTTTTTGATTTAGAATACTGCATGGTCTCGTTCTCTGTTGAACATCATGCATGACATGTTGCTGACCGTCATCATCTTTCTTTCTTTCTGTCTATCTTGTCATAGTCCAGTATGAATGTATAAGTCTGTACGCGAGAGAAACTTTTCTTTCATGAGAATTAGACGTGTGCGTAGTAGACCATCTCTGTACTTAATCAATGGTAGAAGCCAAAGTAACACTATTGAAGTACATAGAAAATCGAATCACTAACTCAACTTTCAAGTAGACATCAATTGATACACTGTCGTATAGCAACGACATGTTCTTTTTTTTCTTGTTAAGAAATGACATTGCTAGCTGTTAAGTGGCATGGCACCATTCATGTACTTGCTTTCATCTACGTTATAGTTAAGAACCCTTTAGGGGCCAAAAGTCGTTGACTAATCATATTGCATACTGATCTACTTCACATCTTGCCTGCCCTGAAACCAATCTCGGCCATGAGGGTGTATGTACGTGTGTGTGTGCATAGTATGTTAAATTTAATTGACGGGTAACGATGACGGAACTTGTTCGTTATTGCATGTTCCATTCATTGTTAAAATTAGACTTTAAAGTGTGCATACAACTTCTTTGACTCTTTTTTCTAAATGCATATAGAATTAAAAGTGTGTCATTCATTCTAACGAAATGAATTCGATTAAAAGATAAAAGAGAAAACCTAAAAGACGATTCAAGGACAATGCATCTTCTTAACATTAAGACAAGAGCGCATCAAAATCTTTAGCTACTATTTAAGTAGTCAGCAATTGTGTTTAGTTAGAAAAGAAAGTGATGGTAAACAAAAAAAAGAAAATTCCTTATACGCTCGGCACTCAAGGATGTTCATCAAATACATACATAACAACGAATAATTATATTTAGGATTTTATTTTTTTTTTGTTCTCATCTGCTTACGAAAGAAATAAAAATAGAAATCAATCATATTGGAATTCTTTTTCACACATATATTCAATTAATCTAAACAAAATCAAGAACGAATTTTATATACATTTCAAATAATCAATAGAAGTTGTATTACCATAAACAAATACAGAAGAAAAAAAACATCATCTCACTATAATTAATTTTAACTATCGATTTATGTAGATATTCATTAATTTTCTAATATATACAATTTTTTTTTTTTAGAATAGAAAAGAAGCAAATCTACAAATAGAGATAATGCGTGTCTATCGAGTTTTTTTTTGTTGTGCATGTCAGTTATATGATCCTTGATGCTTGTTATAAAAGTTAATATATATTATTCATATGCAATGAAATAAACCAATAACTACAATGAATAAGAAAAAAAAATCGATAAACTCTTGAAGCAAAGAAAAGAAATGAACGATTATTAACTTTTGTTCACTTATAATTATTCACATTCTATAACGATTCTACATAAATCATGTTAATGAAACAATCGATTCTTTTTTTTTTCAGCATTCAATAGTAATCTAGTCAATATGTCGTTCTATTTTATACATACAACAAAATAAAACCGCATTACGATTTTTTCGGTTCATTTATATTGTACTCTATGTACGTCACCTTTCTTTCTTTTTCCTTTTTTTTTGTATTAACAAGGATACTGTCATTTTACAACATTTCCTAGAAACTATTGAGTTCATAAAAGAACGAGAAAAAAAGTACAATATAGTTTATTAAAATATGAATCAAAATTAATTTCGAGTGAAATTGTTTCATGGTACAATGATCGTTTCTTAAAAATTCTTCTTGTTTCAGCAATTCTCATATTGTGATTAATGATGATTTCTATCAAATAAATCTTTTTTTCTATAATAAAATTCTATTGAATGATAACAATGAATTTTCTCATGGAATGTAAAATTAATATACGAAATTAAAAAAGAAAATGATAATCATATACGTAATGGTAATAAACAAGAAAATTCTTTTTTCATCGAGCAATCATCTCGAATTTCTGAATCAATAACATATTGACAATAAATTACCATTAACGTATGCCTGGAGTACTTATTTTTACAAAGATGATAAACAACAAGATTGGAAACGGAATGTTATTTGTATAACATCAATCAAATATGTCGAAGATTTTTTTTTTTGGGTCATTCTATATATGCACATATGGTATGCAGGACCTATCAAATGATTATAAATATATGCTTTTTAAAGTAATCTATGCATAAGATATGATAAAATGAACATCATATAAATGACTACGAGATGAAATAAAAGATTTGTTTTTACATACTTGATAATTCACTTGACATTTGTAGTTTGATGGTTGTCTATCCATGTGAATAACTTTCATAATTATTATAGAATAATATTTATCTAAAAGAAGTATAAGTGAAAAGATATGTCATAATATTGTGAAGAAAAAAAATGAGTAATTACAAAGGATTTTAACAAATGTTAACATCTTCGAGATAGTTCATTTGCTTCAATTAGTAACAAAAATATATTCGAAGAAAATTAGTGATTTATATTCTATATTGATTTAAGCAATTATGTTAACAGTGTGCCATTGTATATCATTACGAATGAAAGGTGCTGATTACTTAGCATTATGATTAAAAAAGATTGATGATTTAAATCTCATTCAAAAAAAAAAAACAACAACATTGCAATTAAATCTAAAGATTTAGTTGGATTTTCTAATCAAATATAAGTTATTAATAAAGTTAGAATAGTCAATAAAATTTTTCTTTTGTATTTAATTCTTAAATAAATATTTCTTTTTTGTTTTTTAAAGTACCATGAACCAAAATTCGGTGTAGAAAATAATGAAATTCATCTAATTCTTTAAAAAAAATCAAGCGAGAGACAATAATTATTGAAAATAAACAGTTTTCTTTCACTAAATTGCTCGATAAACGACAAATAATAAAACAAAACAAAAAAGAAACAAAGAAAAAAAAAAAACCTAGGTTTATGTTTATTCTTCATATATAGGTTTTTGTTGTGCACTACCACTTTCATTATGTGTTTCGAATTGAATACGAATAGTTGATGGTAAATTCATCATAGATTTCCATCGACGACCTATTTCACGTACAATATTTGGATTCTGAGCTTCAGATAACCAAAGACCCATTTTATGACCACGTACACGTATTGATACCACACAACCCGTTATAAAACGACTTAGTGGTTGAGGATCTCTGAAATAGAATATAAAGTTTTTTTTTCTCACAAAAATTTTTATTACATTTTTTATACGTACGAATCATGTGAAAAACAATCACCAATCATACCAAGTAATGTTTCTTGCCATAAATCATCAAGTTTCATATCAGGACTTCCAAATGTTAATAACCAACGACCACCATTTGCATTAGCTGGATCCTCTTTAATGAAAAATATTTATATAGAAGAAAATGAACAAAACATAACAATAACATCCAACTTACCCCACATGGGACGAACTAAAATTAAAAAAAAAAAGAATATTAAAAATAAATTATAGAATTTCATTCACGAATGTGATATGGTATATACTTTTGTTAAATATATAGAGACTATAACTGATCTTAAACGATTATTTTGAATTTTTTGTTTTGGACGATGAACTTTCATCAAGTGATCAATCGCTTTTGACATCAGCTTTATCTCATTAGAGAAAGTCTAAAACTCTATTCCATAGATCTTCTTTTTTTTTTATTTCGCTATGATCATTTTAGTGAGTTTCTTGCAAAACTCACCTGCTCTTTAGTGATTTATTTAGTATGGGATGGATCGAGAGATTGATGTCTCTCTACAGTAGAGTACTGCACGGATACAACTTTTCGTACCCGTACTCTACCCGACACCTTATTTGTTACCCCGTACCCTACCCGACCCGTAGGTTCCAATTTCCTAGAATCTTCTCCTATTCCAGGCTCGCACCCCCCATATCTGGAATAGAGTAAACCCTTCCCCAGAATAAAAGAGCATGGCCTTATATTGCGTCTCCGCACATCGTTGCTTTCTAGGTGACCTTCTATTGAGGTCAGCTGTTCAACAATTATTAATTAAAATTTTTTAAAAACTATAATAATTAATTAATAATTTTAATTGAGGTATTTCTGGTATTTTTCGTGGAAAAACCGCTGTTTTCATATAAAAATATGCTCTCACTGATAGAATATGGAGCGATTTCTCAAAAAAAACAGTAATTTTTGGCTAATTATTAATTAATATTTACGAAAAATTAAATATTTTTGTAATTAATTAATTAATAAGTGCATGGCCTTCTAATAGGGCTGATGAACTTTTGTTCAGACATGGCCTTCTAATGGGGGTGATCCTCTAATATGGGGTGGCCTTTTATTATGGGGAGGGGGTTTACTGTACGGGTACAACTTTTCGTACCCGTACCCTACCATACCCGTAACCAACTGTACCCAATACCCGCGGGTTGCAGTGCTCTACTCTACAGATCAAATAGATCCGACTTTTTGAATAAATTTTGATAGAAACAAGATAGAACGCTACAGTTTTCATCGTTAACTAGAGTAGGTGATGTTGCATCGAATCATATGTTATATGTTTCTCTAAGATGTTTTATGATTTTTTTTAAATCAATTTTCTAAAAAGAATACCTCACAGATAGTTTCCTATAGAATAAGAATAAAGCAAAAAAGATGATTTTTTTTTTGCAACAATTGCTTAAAGAATCGGTTAAAAGTTATGAGTAGAAATGCACATCTGTTAATTGAAAATTCACTGTAGGTACCTCATAGAGTATATTAGTTTTCAAAAATATCAAGTCAAAAAAAGCTGCGATATAAGACTTGATGGGTTTTTATCTCCTCTTAAGAACTTTATTGATGCAAATTTTCGAATTAGAACTAGAAAATCGATTTCGAAAGTATTCTTAATAAGAACCTATTGAATCAGATAAGTTCCACTGAAGAATCGATCTATTATTTGTGGAAGTTCTTTTAATAGAATTCTAATATCAATAGATACAGATGATTAGATAATTTGAATTTTTTGTAACGATATTCTATATTCGAGAAATACACTAAAACAAAGAGAGTTAATGAATTTTCAAATTATAAATTTGTAGCGATGTAACAATTTCTAGATCATGATTTCAAAGATGACTTTTTCTACTATCGATGCGAAAATATGAGGTAGGTCAATATTTTTGAAACCAATTTTGATAAGAAAATCGTAGAGATCTGTAGTTTTTATCATTGGTAAAAGAACATTCGGGGTCAAGGTGAATTACCCTCGCACAACTGCTGTTGTAGGTGATTAGAAGTGAATTGGCTGATATCGAGGATGTCAGGAAAAGCATTTTATAACTTTCGAATAGAACAAACTAGGAAATATCGGTCTTGTGTAAATCGAAAACGAAGAATTTTTTTCCATCGATTTGTTATGTCTTAAGTCTAAATAGAAAGTGACATGACTCCAGAATATCATTTTCAGAAATTTTCACCAAGAATTCATCTGAGCGGTTAATTGCTGATGAATAAAAATTTTGATAGGCCTCCATTATCTCAAATCTTCTCTCTCGAATGGTGCAAACTACAGGTTTCTATGATGTTGCTATGAAAATTTATTCCAAAAACATTTCAAAATAGGATATGGAATTGATTGGATTTTCTTTGAAAACTTAATTGATACATCCCTAAAAGTTTAACAAAATGTAAGAAAAAAACAAAAGGTTGTGTGTAATATTTGACTTATAATTATTTATATAAATCAAAGATTTATGTTCGAAATTTGAATGTACAATAAACATTTGATTATGATTGCATGTATTGTTAATCGATCATATTTGATTAATATAAAAATTAATTAAACAAATATTTTAACTATTTTTTTAGAAAAAATTCTAAATGATAATTGAATATATTTTCTTACTTCCTGTTCGAAAAAAATAATAATCTGAATTAATTTTAGCTGTTGCAAGACGTGATGGTAATGCTAAATGATTATATGTTGCCCAAAAATCTTCAACAAATCCAATATCAATTAATTTAATTAATGATTTTTCCCAAACAACACGTTTATCAGGTTTAAGGTACCAAAATGTCCATGAAAATTCTAATGGACTTTTTGGATTAGCATTGTCAGCGACTAATTCTCGTTCATTATTTTGTTTTTGATCTTGATTCGAAGAATTATTTGTTGTATCCATTATTTGTAATTTTTAATAAAAAAAATAGAAAAAACAACAACAAGCTCGAGTGAAAAAAAACATCTGGCTAACACGACATGATTCATTCAGGTGTGTCGAAATTTTGTTTTCAATGAATTAATAAATGAAAAAAAAAAAGATTTAGTATTAATATTTCTAAAAATTTATTTAAAAAAAAATTTTCTTCACAATTTTCTCTATGAAAAATATTTCTTTATCATTTTTTGAAATGAGATCGTTGCTAAGCAATGAATACACTATGAACAATGATTACAAGATGGATGTTGAACAGATTAATTTAATCATATTATGGCGCATCTTCTTGGAAGTAAAGTTTGTATTGACAGTTTACGTGTTGATATTGATGATTTACAAAATGTTATATATGATATTATTGGAAAAACAGGTTCAATTAAGTAAAAATAAAAATTATCTTTTTGTTTTCTTGTTCTATTCAATTGAATTGTATTTATACTTTTTTTTATGTAGATGTCATTCATGGAAATTTCCAGATAAACTTGCAACAGATGTTGATATTAATGAAATACTTGAACGATATCAATATGGAAAAAATGATCTTGACAATCAAGTTTCTCATATTATTTTATTTGAAATTATTATTGATAGGTATGTATACTTGTATAAAATTGAGTTATATATATCCGAAAATTTAATAAAGAATTTCAGGATTGAAAAAATCATTATTTCAGGCAAGTAAAAATATTCGTCTTCCTAGAATTGATTGTCTATTTTAAATGATTGATGCTTATCTTTTCTTCAGAAACTGCTATTAGAATGAAAATACTTTTCTTTCAGTTTTTTTTTATCTCTTCATCGTATAACTTGAGATGTCTCTAGCTATTGAGAATAAATAGACGATTATAGAAATATTAAGATAAAGCCAGAGGTGGCGCCACCGCTGCACTAGATAAATTATAGAAGAGAACATATCTAACTATCGAACGTCGTTTGATTTGCTGCGAGTAGATCTCAGCGAGGTTGAGAAAAACTTATAAGGATTCAAACTCATTGCCTACTGATAAAGAGTTATGGCTGTTTTAATCAGCAGGGTAAGTACCTGAGCATTAAATTGCGCTACAAGATGCCGAAGCGCGCACTTTCCCCCTTAGTTTTAAGGCCCCCCCCCCCCACTCAAAAATCGATTTCGGCTCCGGTACATGCAAATCGCATGAAATTTTCAGGATATGTTAGGGTTATAGTGGAGAAGCTATGGTAAAAATTTCAGCCGTATATCATGACGTTTAAGGGAGATATTCACCAAACAAGGGTCAAACATAGCTCATCTCGNTTAACCCTTTACCCCCCATGGAGGTTCCAGAAGAGCCACTGATAAAATAACTTTATTAATACAGTACTACCCTCGCTAGTATGCAAATGGCATAATCTGATCCATCGAATGTTCTGCTCCAAGAGTAGGACGATATGTACAAACGATTCGAGTAGAAATATGCAGAATAAGATTAGAATTTGTGCTCATATGAATCTCTAGTAGAATGAAGTTGAAAAAAAAAAAAAGCTTCATTACATTGAGTAAGAATACGAAGAATTTTTATTCTATATCTTCAGATTCCATTCGAATTATAAAAACACAAGGATTCAATAGTTAATTTGTACTCCTTATCTGACCTTCACACTTACAGATATCATAAATTTACGTTTATATAATTGAACAATTTTCAAATAGAATTCTAATTTTGAAAACAAAAAACAAATAATATTTACTTCATTAAACAGAAGTTCTTTTCGTTGTTGTTTAGTTATATTCATTTGTTTAATAGCAACTTGTGTACCATAATGTTTATCAAGAGCTATATAAACATTTGCTGTTGATCCTTCACCAATTTTAACAAAATGATCATACATTGTACGAGGATCTGATTGACTAACAACTTTTTGTAATGCAAAAATGAACTATTCAACAATAAAAAAAAGAAGGAAATTAAACATTTGTTTTTTTTTTTAAATTCTTATTCTTTATACATACATCTTCAAGTGATAATTTTGTACTTCCATCGATTTTTTCTCGAGTTGTAACAATAGCAGGTGATGTAGCTTGCTTTATTTTACTATTTGATGGAAGTATTAAATCATTTTGATAATTTGGAACTGATGGTTTACGATTATCAATAGATGAATCAGGTGATTTAACATTATAGAGACGATCAAGATGTGTATTACGTGGAATTTGTATGAGTTGATTATGAGAATGATAAGGATAATCATCGGATATTTTAGGTGGAGTTATTTGTCGATGATTAGTTAATGTTTGTTGATTTGATCCTGAACCACGAACAATTGTTTGAGACTAAAAATTAATAAGATTTCGATTTTTTTTTCGAATAAAAATTTTTTCTAATAAAACAAACTTTGAGATATTCAAGATCAGATGGTGTTAAAAAACAAGGATCACCAATTAATGGTTTTGGTCGTGATTGTTGATTTGTATATTGTTGTTGCTGTTGATGTCTTTGACGTTCATATGCAGCCATAGCTGTTCGTGATATATCTTCATCTGTTAATATACTTGTCCATTGTGGTGGTAAATCTTTTAATGTTTGACTATTTATATCAAAATATGTTTTACGAATATGTTGAAAATTAGTTGGTTTGGAAATTTCTGGACGTTTTTTACGTTTAAATACCATAATTTTTAATTTGATATATATATCTGAACGAAATATCTAATTGTTGGTCAATAGAAGAAGAAGAAAACAATATGTATTAGACAATGGCAAACATTTACAATGACCATGATTGGTTATTTTATTTCAATATATTGAACTTAATAAGATGTCAGTAGTCGTAGGACAGTTCTAAAAATGATTATATTTATTGAACACAAAAAAAAAGAAAATACGAAGAACAAACAATTTGAAACAAGAATGAAACTTGTTATCTTAATCTATTGTCAATATTTTACAAGTTCGCATAATTGAGGATCATTTTTAGACGATATGCATCGATAAAATTGATCTTCATACGAAAAGAGATACACATTTCTTAGAAACAGCATTTCAACAATATATTGCGTCGAGCTGATTTCTTAGCAATAATTCTAATGTTTACAATTTATTAGATAGTTTTAATTTGATTTTTTAAATCTTTGAAGATACTAATATATTTTTTCATTCAACATGGTTCTCATACTTACGACATATCGAAAATACAGAGAAATTGTAGATACCAGATCTTCTAATGGACTGACGAGGGAACTTCCCGAGGTGTAACCTCCCGTTTTGATTCATTTATATCTCATTTAAGTGAGCATATTGAGATAGTAAATACCCTAAAAGGATTTGGGTTCCTGCTTCTTCTATCAAGAGTTATGACCGTTTTNTAATAATTAACTATAATAAATTTAAGTGCTTGTTACCAAAATGTAGCCCGTGAAATTCTGCATCGAATGGTATATAGAATATCTTTTAGACGTGGTGAAATAACGTAGAAATTAGCCAAATACTAAAAGTTTGCTAAACTTTTTTCTTTACTATTTTTTACAGTGTTTAGTATTTTGGCTATAAAATCGTTATTATTCAATGAAAAGTAAAAACGTTTTTTACCAAAATGATCAGCGAAAAATTCTCTACAAACTCTGATATGAAAGAAAATCGTCAGACTATCCTTTTTACTCATTTATGCGTAAAAACAAAAAAGTACATGCTTTTTACGGCCCGCACTGTATTGATGAACTTCTGCAGTTATTTTAATCCTATTATGTATTTCCTAGATTACTACGGACGAAAATGAGTTTACTCTGTTCAAAATTGCATGACTTGAACTCAGAAAAGCCACTGTTATCTACGAAAGCTAATGTTAATAGACTTTTATTGAGACTTATTCAATTTCTGTTCACTTAGGAACTTATATCAAGCGGAATTTTAAAAAATGGGACAGAAAAAAACGATTAGAGAAGCAAATGTAACAGGATTCAACTTTATCAAATAAAATTGCGTAGACCATGGCATTTGACAGCCATAGTTGCAGTAAGACTTTCAAGAAACAAAAAAATCGAATCGAACTGGATTTTAGAAAATAGAGATGAAGTCGAGTAAAAGAAATAGCGGTGGAGTTAGAATGACACGCAGTAGACTTCAAACATCTGTGATTTTTTTCTCACTTTGATTTAAGAGCATTCCTTACATGGATACCAAACCGACTAGTCAACTCAATGCTAAACTATTTGAGTACGTCACAGTGATATTTTATATCAAATTTCTCTATCTGATTCAATTCTTATGTAGTAACATTGAAAAGATCGAAAAAGGCATTGGTTTTGAATTCTTAGCATTGTTGGGCGTATTACTCTCCATCATTGGATGTTTAATAGCATCTTTCATCGTCAATTGGCTATTGACTTTGATCATGCTATGCTTCATACCTTTGATGTTTGGTGGCTCAGCTTTATTTTCTAAAGTATGAAATTTTGTTCATTAAATTGCATCTATACAAATTACTACAGCTCACAGCTAAAGAAGCAACGAATGAGTTAATGGCATACTCGAAAGCAGGACAAATCGTTCAAGAAGTGTTTAGTTCATTGCGAACTGTTCTTTCTCTCAATGGTATCAAATTTGAACAAAAGCGGTAAACTAATATATAAAAATAGTTTACTTATTTGATATCATGAAACATATCGTTACTTTTATTGCATTTAGATATGACAAAGAATTGAATCGAACTCACTGGAGTAGTATACGACAAGGTGCAATGTTTGGTATTTTTATTGGATGGATATCACTGACAACCTGCCTAGTTTATGCAGTTGGTTTTATCTTTGGTTCCCTTCTTATGTCACAAAAAATTGATGATAGTATGAATATCAGTGATATTCTTGTGGTAAGTAATTCATGTTATCTGTCAAGAAGTAAATGAATATACAACTACTATCTTAATGCAGGTTGTCTCTACTTTTACGCAATGTTTATTGTTCTTCAGTTTTATTGGTCCTTATTTTCAATCATTTTCAGAAGCTCGAGGTGCAGCATCATCGGTAATTCGATTTATTGAAGAGGTAAATCTCAGTCAATTTTGGTTCCATATCGATAGTAATTTATTGTATTTGTTTACACGATGTAGGAAAATGACACACGTATTAATGAAACAAATGAATGGAAAGAGGATGCAAAATCCTTTCACAGAATCAATGGTGATATTGAATTCGACAATGTCAATTTTAAATATCCATCTCGAAAAGATACATCAGTTCTTCGTAATCTCTCCTTTGTTGCTCGTGCTGGTCAGACAACAGCTCTTGTAGGTTCAAGTGGCTGTGGTATGTCACTTTTCCCAAATAAAGATGTTAAAATAATTTCATCTATGTTCATAATTTATTTATAGGAAAAAGTACATGTATATCATTGTTTCTTCGTTATTATGAACCTTCATCTGGTCGAATAGCGATCAATTGTCGGCCAATAACAGATTACAATGTCAAACATCTTCGACAAAACATTGGAGTTGTTAGTCAAGAACCTGTATGCTTGTTTTCCCCATTTTTCTTTTGTCCCTTTCAAATAATTTTTTTTACTTGTGTAATAGATTCTGTTTGGAATGAGTATTTATGACAATATTCGTTTTGGTGTAGCGAATGCGACACGAGGAGAAATTGAACAAGCAGCACGCGAAGCAAATTTGCATGATTTTATCATGCAACTACCAAATGTTTGTGTCAAATATTCATCTTTATCTATATATATGCATCATGACTTTTTGTTTAGAAATATAGAACGCTTATTGGTAAACATGGTATACAGTTGAGTAGTGGCGAAAAACAACGTATTGCATTAGCTCGTGCTATTGTTAAACAGCCTGCATTCCTCTTACTAGATGAAGCAACAAGTGCACTTGATAATATTAGCGAAAAAAATGTTCAAGAAGCTCTTAATCGATCATGCAAAGATTAAAATTGTTTTTTTTTGCTTATCTTATTGATATATCATTCTGTATAGGTCGCACAACTATTGTTATTGCACATCGTTTGACTACAATTCAAAATGCTGATCAAATATATGTATTAGATAATGGAAGTGTGATTGAGCAAGGTACACATGAAACATTGATGGCAAAAGAAGGAGGAAAATATCAATCAATGGTCAAACGTCAACAAATGGAAAGAATTCATGATGATAAAGATGATATGACGAGCATACATAAAGCAACAAAAGAAGAGGAAAAGTCTCTATGTATGTTAATATTCTAATAGTGATACTCTCTACTTTTCTTCGTCTTTTTTAACAGTTGAACGAGCTCATTTGTTTAGCAATAGCCTAACTGTTGATGTGAAAAAAGTACAAATACTGCTGCAATTCTTTATAAAATTTATTATTGATAATTTCCTTCTTTTTAGCAAAGTTCAAAGCCATTTAAACAAAGATCTGTCTTTTTAAGACTCTTATCAATGAATAGTTCTGAATGGATTACCATCTTGATTGGTTGTATAGCATGTATACTTAATGGAGCAGCGCAATCATTGTTCGCATTTTCCCTTGCCAAAATAGTTGATGTGAGTGATCCACCCACTTAAATATTCTGCAAAAAAGATTGACAATATACATCGTTTTATGCGGATTTGTTTATTGTGTAGGCATTCAAATATTGTTCAAACTCTGAAAGACGTCATCAAGTCTTGGCTACTAGCTCTATTTTTATACTATTGGGTATTCTTTTATTGTTTCTTCGTTTCTTTCAGGTAAAAATGCTGTTTTCGAATTCGATCAATGATTTATTCAGTTTTTCCTATAGTATACAGCTTTTGCTATAGCAGGATCAAAATTGACACAACGTATTCGTTCGAAAGCTTTTGCATGTCTTCTTCGTCAAGAAATTGCTTATTTTGATCGACCTGAAAATAGTTCTACTTCAATATGTGCTCGTCTTTCTTCTGATGCATCAGCCGTTCAAGAGATGTGTGGTACACGATTAGGAGCCATCTGTGAAGCTTGTGCGCTGTCGTTTTTTGGAATTCTCTTTGGGTGTTTCATAAGTTGGCAATTAACATTGATCATTTGTGCTCCTGTTTTTGTCCTATTCGTTGTCACCTATGGAAATATGCGCTTACATCTATGGCTAAAGCAACAATCTGATCGCATTATCGGACAAGCAAACACGGTAAGATCAGGTTATAGCTGACAATCGTTCTGTTTTTGGGTATACAAAAATTGTTGTTTTATGAGTTACTCGATGAATCAAATATACTACATTCACTTTGTTTTTTACTTTCACAGCTTGTTGTTGAAGTTATTCATAATATGCGTACAATAAAAGAGTTGACAGTAGAAAAGAAAGTGCTGCGACAATATTCTGACCTTATGCATCAAGTATTTATGTTAGTCAATCGAATTTAAAATGTGTAGAAATTTTTAATTAATTTTGTTTTGTCATAGATTGTCTTGGAAACCTTTGATACTATATTCAATGGCATATGGCATGTACTGGGTGCTAGATATTTACACTCTGGCATTTCTGTATTGGCGTGCTCTCATTCTTGTTGAAAAGAACGAACTCACTTCAAACCGTATTATAGTGTAATTGAAACCATTGTTTGATAATCTAGAGATTGTGTTACATTGATTTAGTCGATTTCCGTATTTCCGTATGCATGCATAGCCGAGAACGAGTGTGAACTATACTAGAGATAACATTTTATTAAAATTAATTAGTTTCTTAACAAATCGATCGGTAAATATGTGAATTGATAAGCATTTGAGTTGTTAGAGTGTTGCTATCGACGTAGGTGTCAATGCCAAGAGGAAGATACTCACACCCTTATGGTGATATGTTATATACAGAATGAATCATAATTCATCCAATCTCGTTTTCGGTTATGAATTCATTCGGAAATATTGAACTCGGTGAAATACATCGTCGACGATAAAAACTTCCGCGGAAACAGAAATTACTTTTTCATTATTTTTTCAATTTATTAGGATCTTTGGTTTTGCTGTGCTTGTGTTACAAGCACTAAGATTCATCGGAATAATGTAACACTCTCAATCTCTCCTCTGTTTTTTTTTTCTTCCATCGTCTTCATTCTAGATCTAGCCGTATCGCTGCGTCAGTTGCGGCTGCTCGAACGTTTTTTGATTTATTTGATCGAAAACCAGCTATCGATAATATATCTACTGAACAACAAGAATTGGTAAGAGAACATAGAAGATAACTATTTTCTTTTAATCATGCATATGTCATGAGTATAATATAATTCATGTAGGTTGATCTTCATGGAGAAATAAAATTCAATCACGTCAAATTCGTCTATCCAACTCGACCAACACCTGTTGTTCTTAACGAATTTCAATTGAATATCAAGCCAGGTAACTGACAGAAGTTTTGATTTTATTGATTTATTAAAAGTTTTTATTCACTAATAAGGTCAACGTGTGGCTCTAGTTGGTATGTTTACATTAAATGTTTCTTTTCAATGTTAATTGTGTAAAATGATCTATACAGGTACATCAGGATGTGGCAAATCAACAATTATTCAACTGTTAGAACGATTCTATGATGTTACAAGTGGTCAACTAGTTAGTATTTCTTTAGTATGTAGTCTAAGTAATCATATAAAATTTATCCACTGAATATAGTTTCTTGATGGCATTGATATTCGACAGCTAAACCTACAATCGGTTCGCTCTCATTTTGGTCTTGTTAGTCAAGAACCAATTTTATTCGATTTAACTATTGCTGAAAATATATCATATGGCTTAGAAAATGTTACAATGAAAGATATTATCAAAGCTGCAAGAACCGCTAATATTCATCAATTTATTGAACAATTGCCTCAGGTTAAACAATATAAAATTATATAATCTATCTATTGCTATTGTATGATATTGCTTTTTAGGGTTATGAAACAAAAGTAGGGTTAAAGGGTAGTTTATTGTCAGGTAGTGAGAAGCAACGTATTGCTATTGCTCGAGTTCTTATTCGTCGACCTAAAGTATTGCTCTTAGATGAAGCTACAAGTGCCATGGATTCATATAATGAACAAGTGAGTTTTTTTTTGTTTTTTTTTTCATTATTTATCAATGAAATATTCATCTTCATTATTTCAATTATAGCTAGTACAAAAAGCTCTTGAACAAGTTCAAACAGAAGATTCTAGTCGAACATCACTGATTATTGCTCATCGTCTTTCAACTATTCGTTCATGTGATTTGATTTGTGTACTTGATGGAGGACATATAGTGGAAAGTGGTACTCATACAGAATTGATATCACAGCGTGGAGCTTATTATAAAATGCTTGCTGAAAACAATTTACAATGATTATCAGCGAACTATTTTGACAGTGAAAATATACTTTATTATAGATTTAAAGAAACTTTGCCTAAAACATATAATGCATGATATAATTACATTGCTAAATTTATTGTACAATTATCATCATTGGTTTCATTGAAATACAAGTTATCCTATTAATTCTTTTTAGCCTATTAGTCTTATCTAAAGATAGTACAGATAATGATTGGCCATCTATTCCACCTCTTTTTTATCAAAAAGAAAAGTGTACAGAGAAAAACTAAGCATAGATAAATTTATTCAGCAATATTAGGTTCATGTGTATGATAGTGAACGCTGGTTTTTTTCTTGTTTTTCTTTTTCACATCGAGAAAACGCTAGACCCATCAAAATACTACATGCAATTATCTTAGATAGACAAAGAACTAAACCAGAACTAAGTTGCAAAAAAGTAGGCAAATGCAGTGAAAGATGATGAAAAGTAATTGATTGAACTTCAATTGACTTTTACAACATCCAATGCGGGTAGTAAAGATGAAAAAAACTTCGATGAATTGTTTGACATCCCTAATTCAATTATAATATAGCGTAACATAATGGATGTTGCAAAAGTTCCTGAAAAAAATGTCAGACTGTTGTATTTGAACAGAGAGTGAGAGATAGTTTTGTTAAATAGAGAGCGTAGTTACTACTCTGAAAGGACATATTTCGAAAACTTCTATTCATACGTTAATAGACAAATTAATTCGGTTTTTCTAAAACTGCTAAAAAGCTTCCTCTAAATTTCTGGCCATTTTATTGTTGATTTCTTCGAAAAACAGTTTAATATCTTGCCTTAGATGCAATATTTGGACTCCTTTTTACATGTTTTATAGAAAATGACATAAGCTTTTGCCACGCACGCAAATCATTGAAAAAAAGTGATTGTTATCATTTACTATTGACAGGAAAAAACAATTTTCACAGTTTTGGAAATTTATGCATTAATTGTTTGAAACTCTTATCACTTTATATATCCATTTTTACAAGTAATTATAGAAAGATCGACCGTACCAGATCGAACTTTTCGCAAGCTACAAGAATATGTCGAAAAATCTTGCAAACCCTTTGTCCTAAGTTAATTCAATTATCGGAAATTATAAAACTTACTGTTACAGAAAGTTTCACAATTTATGCCGATATAATTTTAAGAAAGTCTATCTCGATAAAGAAAGATCTGCTTAAGCTGATCTTTTTTTCTAGGCGGTCTTTGAGCAGTCACACAGCATAGAAGCAATTTTAGCTCAAAGGTACATGTCTTTATTTACATATACAATGTGTTTACTGTTAAAAATATTTACAGCCTCCTTCTTAGGCGGTCTATAAAAACCAAATTATTCTTGATACTACTGTAGTATATGAATAGAAGTCTATAAAACATATGCTGTGAAAGTAGAAACCAAGTTTTATGTAACAAAAAAAAAAAGAATTAGCTTTCCATCACCTTTTGTTCAAATACAATAGAGTCTGACATTTTTCCAGAAACTTTTGTAACCGCCGTTATATTTAAAATCACTGTCAAATAGAGATTCATAAGGGATTAGTTTTAGTGATGTCGGAGTTTTCCCTTCACTTTGAGTGTTTTTTTATGATTTTGAGGGTTGAAATAAGAGCCTCCTACTTTTCCTCTTTTTTATTTTTTCGTTGATCCTCTTTACTCTTCTTTTTTCACGGACCCTAAGTGGGAGGCAAGGATAATGATGATCTCAATAACTACGTAATTAGACTTTGATTTTTTTTATGCAAAAATTGTCAAACATAAAAATACCAGCTCAATACTTTCACATGCGGCAATGATCGACTCAGTATCGACGTTTTCATTGCTATTGTTTAGATTGAATAATTGTGAGATGATATAGCGATGAAATTGTTGAGAAAAATGGTTTATGCCAATTGCTTCTCGATTTGTATTGAAACTCATAGTCGTGTAATTACTTTTTATGATTAATAATATATATTATGCTCGAACGCTCTTCTCAATAGTCGAATTAATTAACGACTATCTTCGATATTATATGTTGTAAATATGATGCACGTGAAAATGATCACCGTGAAGTTTTTCAAATTATATTAGAGAAATAAAATAGAATATTGGATGATTTTTGTTGAAGACAATCCTTACCAATTACAATACTGGAATAAGAAAGACTTACCGAGAAAAATGTTAAGCGAAAATTTAGCTAAAATTCTAAATATAAGTATCATTTATTGTATTTGTCAAGATTTCATTGACGACCTCGATCGAACTTGATGTTGTATCTTGTTTCTCACAGTATTTTTATTTTTATTGATCTAGTGAGATTCAATAAGTACTTCCTTTTCTTTACCCTTCAAGACAAGAAAAGTATTTCTTACATGTGACATCTGGCTGTACAGCTTTGAATAGTTTGTGGATTAAAATAAGATGATTTGCGTGTATAACAGATAAAGATATGTCTTCTTTTGTTTTCTATTGCCTTAAATAAATCTATCAACATATATTTAGTCAGAATCTTTAGGATATAACATACTATGTAGTTCTCAAAATAGTTTTGAAATTGAAAAATAAAATATTAAATAAAATGTTTACTTAATCATGGAGCCATACTTGTCATCGTGAAATATTTAATATATCGTCATTTATCTCATGTATCGATAATCGTTAATGGACAGCAATTAATCAATAATTTGTATGCTAAAATCTAAGTTAAGCACCGATATTATTCAATATAGCGATTAGTGATACAAACTGAGGCGAGGTTTAGAACATAATTAACTCTAGTAAAAGTAATTAAGAAAATGGAATTTTATCATGAAGTGATTAAGTACAGACAATGTTGTTAATTGGAACAGCTCTGTTGAATATGCGATAGTTTTTCTTTTTTTCAAACAATGCTAAAGAAAAGCTTAGAAGTCTTTTATATTGTTGAATAGAGAAGTGTCTGCTCAATGAAATGTTGCAAAAGTCATTCAGTATGTTGAAAACTAACTGAGTAATTAGTGACTGATTCAATTTGTCCTAACATTGAACATAGCTTCTAATTCGAACAGTAATATGAATTTATTATTGAATATTGAAATGTGAGAACATGTATGAAGTGTATTTTAGAAGGTAGACAACTCCTGAATTTGATCAAAACTTGTTTGTCTTATGTTCGTCTATAAGTTCCTGTTACTTTTGAAACACTAAATTTTCCCAATAAATAAAATTTTTTACTGTATTAATCTATTTTCGATATTATTATAACTTATTTCGCATCAAAGTGATGCCTGTATAATATTCTCTGAAAGATGAACAGTTTATATCATGTATGAGTAACATTTTCGATCTACCTATGTGCTTGAAACTGTATTCATTTTTTGATAAAAATAAAAATTAATTTGGTTTGAAGATATGTTCAATATGTATTGGAGGAATATTATTGCACATTATATAAAATGATTTCAAGTATTCTAAAAAGTCAATATAATCGATTTATGATGCAATACTATATGGCGTTCTTATCTCTCTCTCTATATAACAGAGATTTACTGCAAGTGAAATCGATCCTCGTTCAAATGCAAAATTCACATTATCTCTACAAATATCGATTGCCTATTATATAAAAAACCCTTGAAGTCTATCTCATTATGAGAACTATAATAAATGGCATCAATAATTTAACAATGGAAAATATGTTGAAAAGCATGGTAACAAATGTATAGAACTACTCAAGTTTAAAAATCTTTCATAAAAAAAAATCAACTGATTCTTGTTTTACATGTCAATGTATTCATAGAAAAAAAAACACATAGATGAACAACAATGGGTAAATAGAATTAAGGTTTTTTTTTTTTGTTAAGTAATTGTGCTATAAAAGAATGGTGCCTGACTTATCAATTATGTAGTAAAGAGTTCACTTAAAATGCTTCTTCCATGTATGTTATTAAACCCGAATGCAAATAAAGAGAAAAGACTATGAAGTAATGTAAATATTTGTCACTGTTTCAAAAATGAAACAGAATTTTGTGATATATTAAAAACTAATTAAAGTTTTTCCAATAAAGTAATTGCTGTATTTTATCCAGCGTAGAAATCAAAGGAATATCAGTAAAAACTGCGAACACCCATGATTACCTTGGCTTTAATATGTAAAACATATTTTATAAGTAAAAATCAAAGTAACCATGGCTGTCTATGGAGTGCTCGAGCCGAGAAGAATGACGCTGCGCTATTCCAAAGATCGGATTGATTCTCTCCGAATTTGTAGTTCTTATAGAACGTACTCTATGTTTGTGATCCTGGAGTTTTTCAAATCGTTTCTCCAGAAACAAATATCTGAATAAAATATTTAATAATTGTCTTAATATCAAAAATGAAATTAATAACATCAATCAAGATTTATTTTATTCATGATTATTAGCATTGTTGAATATCTTTATGTTTAACTATAAATGAAATTTAAATACAATATGAAACTCTGATAATTATTATTAATCTTCTAATGTCTCCGAATCCGTACTTATGTTCAATTCTTTTTGTTCATCAAAAGATTCTTTTTGTAATAAGAATGATGATGATGATGGTAAAGCATTAGTAGTCGATAATAATGATGATGATGATGTCGAATGAAGTCGAATATGTTTATTTAGATTCGACGGATCACTAAATGGTCGAAAACAAACTCGACATCGTAATGGTTTATATCCTGTATGTGTACGAAGATGAATTTTTAAACCATATTTTCTATTATAAGTCTAAAATAGACAATAATATTTTCTATATGAAATTTTATTTTTATATATAAATTTACTTTGCCACAAAACAAACATAAATGACCTTTACGTTGTCGTCCATCAGTATCTAATGAAGTAAATTCTAATGCATGAGTACCATCAAGTACACTCATTTTATAAGATGATACATCATTTGTTGAAAATCCTATTGATTGTTGTGATTGTTGATGATTATGATCTTTTTCTTTGATTTCTTCATTCTTTATTTTACTGATAATAGTATTTTGATGAAT